GTCTTTACTTGAGAAATATACGAGCGATGAAAATGAGACAGATGCAATGTATTACGAAACCTCTCATCGGAATTACAGATTTATGACTTTTAGTGGAGATTATCAGCTTGGCGGAAGATATGCGGGATACGTTTGAAATAAATTACTTAGGATTAAAGTGAAGTGGAAACCTGACCTGACGCCATTTAACATCTTATTATTGTTTAAAAGCTGCGTTTCAGCCATGACACGCAAACCAATCTATCTTGTTAATTGTTTCAAAAGAGGAAATTTTCTTATTATTATTACTGAATTTTTATCTTGCACCCAAATTGAATCTGGTACTAGCGGAGTTTTTAAAGAATAAACATGGCTGAATGAAAACTTGACTAGGTATTGCGACAAGGGAACGTTTATGTCAATCACATGCAGGACCTCAACTCCATTTCAAGCTAAACAAAAACAATAACACCACGACGCTCAGCCGCGTCGCAAACATCAGTTGTTCTGGTAATCGTAGAAAATCGTCATCATTTTTTAGCCAAGGATGTCGTGTTCTTTTTCTTCTTTGTTTTGTTTTGTATTTTTGGTTTGCCAAAGAAGTAATAAGGTAAACAAACAAACACGTTTCGAAGAAGAAGCATCCATGATCGAATATTAAAGACGAATTTCAAAATGTTAAGTTACTCCTTTAAAATTACAAAACACTTTAAGAGTTCTATTGTCATATATCCTTTTCAATGACAGAGAGAGGCATTTTATAGCTTTTGAACCAAATTTCTCGTCCATAAGAAGTACTTAAGTTGAACTTCAATTTATAATCCGGTGGTCCTTCCTCAACCTCCTATCTTTGATGTGACAAGGGCTGTCTTCAACACTCATTAGCCAGCAATTTTCTGAATATATTGGATTTTTTATTGCTCCTTTCCAAGAGTTCGTTTGTCAAATATGGTTGGTGATCACGATCACTAACTAGCTGCAGTATTTCACTTTCCTGCGTGATCTAATGAGGAGTATTTCTTTAGAACAGTATGAATGTCAGTATACACGAAAAAGCTAAAGATAGCGAACGGAAAACAATATTGTGAACAAAAAAAAAGGCAATTTCACTCGCCTTAAATTACTCCACCTGCTTTAATTTTCATTTATCTGTATCCTGTGAAACATTTTACTAATTGTCGTTCGAGACATTATCAGTCAGACCGACAAAACATTAAATAGTTTGACTCCGCTTTCACTCAGTAATTTGTTTCGCATCGTGTTACAAATTTGACTTCCAAAAATAAATGAGGGAAGGGACCGAGTGACGCCCATTTCATTAGTTTTTTACTTTTGTGCGCCTTAAGCTTATTCAAATATCCCTTCTTATCTAGTGAATGATTCAGGATTGCAAACCAAGCTATAAACACTTTTTCGTCATTGATGTATTTCTCTTTAGCGTTAAAAACTAAAAGCTTTTTCTAAATTAATTCGAAACACTTCCTCTGTGACAAGCAGAGATCGTGAGTTGTCAAAACTTTTGCGAAACCCCTATACACTTTATCTAAGGTATACTTGATGAAACTTTGATTAGGGGACAGGAGGTTGTTCTTAATGATGATAACATACAAAGCGGCTAACGTCTAATTAATTAATCAACTAGGAAATAGTGAAAGCACATTTGTTTTCATGTTTAATATCTGTTCTCTGCTTGCTAGTTAAAGGAAGGGAACACGAAGAAAGCGCTGAATATTACCCAACACCCGCCATTGCCATTTGCCGATTTTGTAAACTGAACAAGCCATGTCTTTCAACAATTCCACCGACGTCCCAAGTGGCAACTTTACCCAAACGAATACTTTTACTGCAAGTGCTCTAGAGCCGCTCTGGTTGGTTGTGATACGACTTTCTGTTGAAGCATTTATTGCCTTGGCCGGTGTCATTGGAAACTTAGCTGTGTGCTTTGCAATATCACAGCATCGGTCACTGAATACAGTTCCTACAAATACGTACATCAGAAATGTAGCTGTTGGCGACTTAGCCTCCCTTCTTGTGTCTTTTCCTCTCGGAACAGTCGCGGAACGTTTCGCCTACTGGCCACTTGGCGAATTCGCATGCCGATATATTTTCCCGCTGAGCGACACCTTTTTCGGAGTGTCTATTTGGTCAATTACCGCCATTGCCGTTGAAAGGCATCGTATACTGAACGCAAGGTTCCCCCAAATGGCTTCCAGGTCATTGGCGAAACCAAGAATTGTATGCGCTGTCATTTGGATCTTTTCATTTCTTGGGATTTCTTTGCCTCTGTTACTTGTATATGATTACTACCAGCAATCAGACGAGATTTACTGTCTAGCAGAGTGGCCTAACAACGAGCTTTTTTACATCTATAGCATCGCATTGACCTTGGTCACCTATGTTATACCACTTTCCCTCATCCTTATGAGTTACTGTGCCATCAAGCGCAAGCTGCGCAAGAGCGAATCGTTCAACATGGAAATTGCAGAAAATAGCTGCACGGGAAGCTTCAGAACCAGCCAAGTAAGCCTCGTGAAAACACGTAGTAAAAGAGTCAGTAAGATCATGACCCCAGTAGTTGTAGTTTTCGCAATCACTGTTCTTCCACTCAGCATTTTCCGATTAATTCCAATCGATTATCACTTTAAATATCAAAAATTTTCTTTCATTTATTTTAGGATTTGCATATTTTTTTATCTTTTCAATTCTGCTTGTAACCCTTTCATTTATTCCCTCGTAAGCAGGAGGTTTCGTCAGTCATTTAAGGAAATGCTTTCTTAAACCTCAATGATTAGCGGTAAGTCACTTTTAGAGTTAGGTGGAAAAAGACAACACTTGTAGATGTGGCTGTACTACCTGAAAATATTATAGTTTAACCCTTGTAGACTAGCAGATTGCATAGTCGTTTTTCTACTGTCTTAAACTTAACAGTAATTTGAGCTTTCGTGTTTCTCAAGCTTAATTACCGTGGTAAATCTATGTTTGATAGGTAATAGGTGACAGCTTTGTGTTAAGGAGGGCTTTAAGAATAGTCTGTCTGAAAAATAAACCATTTAATCCATATTATCTTGTCTAATTTAATGCAAATGGATTCTGCTGTTGTTATAGTTGTTATTACAGTCAAACCTGTATTTTAGGACAGCGCATTAAGCGCCACCTTGTTAAGCGATCGGTTGTTAAACTCCCATATTTGTTTCCCCTTTGTTACTGTAATTTTGACCCCTAATTAGCGGTCACTTCTATTAACCTTTTACAGCCTCACATCAGTAAGCATATTCTCCATACTGTTCTTTATACATTTCCTAAGGTCCTGACAAGGGGAATTTGTTCGCCGATCTTAAGGTTCCTTCCCTGGTGACCATTTCCTATATTCTCATGACCTTAATGTGTGATTCAGGAGTAATATTGTTGTGAGAAAATAGATGCTAGTCACTCTTAGAGGTTAAAGGGTTAAGCGGTCGTGGTCACCCGTGACTGAGATCCAAAGGCCTGTTTTTATTGTCTTGTCACTTAAAGAAAAACTGCTAAAATAAAACTACAAATAATTTTTCAAGTAAAATTCAATCTGTTTATCTCCAGAAATAAAAAATTCAGAGGTCAATTATGATAAACTGGTGTTGTTTCTCTTTCTTTTTAAATGACACCTCTATTCTGTACAACCTGGATTAAGCGGTCACCCTGTCATTTACCGTGGGTGACTACTTAATACGGTTTCGATTTTATGAGTAATTGTTGTAAATATAATCTATAATCTAGAAATTTTCGGACTAATGAGTCATGCTGACTTACGTACCGTAGAACTTTTCAGAACATTTCATATAGTCACGTATTTCTTATGTAATAAAATAGTTAATAATATAATATAATAATAATATGTAATAATATGTTAATAATAATATGTAAAACTAAAATAGTTCTTGTGTAAGCGTCTGGAATGTTCCAGAACACTTTTTGAAGATATATAAAGCCTCGCTTATGTATTAGTAAGAGTAGTTGTTGTCGTCGGAGCGACGACTGCTATGAAAGCTACACCATGAGAGAGTTACTGTGGAAGATTACTCGTTTCAATGGACTTTGGAGACAACAGTGAGATTGTGTCAGTGGTGAGCTAGGATATAGACTGTGTTAGGCTTAATTAAGTTTATTAACTATAAGTATTGTACTGCTTTAAGGATTCGTTCCTTGTTAAGAACATCACTAGTTATTATTGGCTGTTTAATAAAGTAGTTGAGTTTGTGGAATTGTAGCGTTTTTCTGTCGGTAAGATTAAACCGTAACATCGACTATATTTTAATTCGGTCGGCATTAATTGAACTTTGCGCCATACGTCTCCCTGCTAAGGGATGGTTAGAATATTTCCTTTGGATGGAAAATTTGATGGTTTATGTTTCTATTTATATTATGCTCGGTATAAATTTCTCATCATTTATGAATAATTTTTTCAACTCATTCATTTCATCATTGTGGATGTTTTTGGATTTAATTTTTTGTTGTTTAATTCTACTCTATTTTGAGCGGAAACCCGAGCAACAAATGGGCGCACTGAGCGTTTTAAGCTTTGATAGTTTCAAGGCTCAACGTTTCAAGCAACGAGTTTTTAAAAGCATCAGATTTTTTTGTGGTCATAAGGAACACTTAGGTGGTTTCGTTTGAGTTGTTTATGAGTTTCGAGCACGTCTTATGCGGTCGATACAAATCAAAGCAACTCAAAAATTATCCGCCTGTATGACCTCTTGAATCATCAAATTAAGTGTATTTATTATGTCTTGAACATAGCCCCATGCACATTGCCGCACAAATGGGTTCGCCTATTTTGCCTTTTTATCATAAAAAGTGTTCAACAAACTCTCAGAATTGCTTCCGCCAAATCGTTTATTTATTTGCGATTTTTTTCACCAGCGATGGTCTTAAAAGGCATAAGTTATCTTTAGAATCACAGAGTAGATTATAGATGCGATCATATTGTTCGACGAATCACGAATGCTTCAATACTTGCTTACGTTGACAACAACGTTGTTTTGTAGCTAACTCGTCGCGTCCACCTTAACCTTGGAGCAGCGAAGAATTGCCTTTATTTTCTGTCTGAAATTGTGGTTGAGCAGGGCATATACGAAAGGGTTCACTTCAGAATTGAATAATACTATCTGATTTGAAATTGCATACACCACATAACTCATCCGATAAGAAGAGGGTAACCGTAAGGTGTAAAAGAACTGAATGGAGCCATGACAGATTCCAAATATGATACTGACAACCACAGCCATTGCGGTAACCCGCTTGCGAACTCCCATTATACCCTGGGGTTTAGATATAAGATGAGAAAGAAAAAAAATTTTATAAGTATGGTTTAATTATCTACAATAAAAGGAGAGATCGAGGTTTAATCAGATGCAATTCATACTTAAAATTGAGTTCTCTCGGTCAATCATTCTCTTAGTAATTTTTTTCTTAAGCTTGGCTTTCTCGCAAGAATAACATCTCTCATTTCATTTTGAAAACTGCCTCAATGCAAGCACAAGCACAAGAAAAAGCAAAAGTTCTGATCCTTGTGCCTGTGCTTACGTTGAAGCCGTTTTCACGGCGAAATATGAGGTGTTATCTATACGTTTGTGCTCACGGCGCAGTGAAAACCAGGCAAGTTAAAAACCTCTTAAAAAAACTTCATTTGTCTAAACTGATTGCCCTTAAGAACGATTTCGAAGAGCACGTTCTCAGAACATGAGCCAGTGTAGTGTCTAAAAATGAAGAAGTATGCCACAAAAGGCAGCCACGAAGGCGAACAACAACAGTACACACAGTACACGTTTCTTTAATAATCTTCCCGCGCTCACACTTTCCCGGATGTATATTTTTACATAAACAACCGCTGTCCTAGTATACTACATTCCCTCTCTTTCTTCGCTCAGATGGTTGACCTCGAAAGACAGAAACATAACAAACTTCCACTTTGTTTAGATACCGTAAAAGTTCAATTCGATTCCAAATGTTCAAGACAAAAATCACGCTAAACATAAACATAGCCTTGGCCGTTCAGCTTATAAAACAACGTTTCAATGTCACTCATGTAATAACAACGAACAGTAATATGAAAATGCCAATGTCACTAGTTTTAGTACAGAACGTAGTCACTCAGAGCCTTTGGACGGCTCGTAATTCTGCCGGATCTTCTCACATGCGGCTCAGCTGTAGGTACAGTAGAAGGTACATCTTCTGGTGGTGATTCAGCCATTGGTACTTGATCCTCTGCCACAGGTGGCGTCTCAAATGACTTAGGTTCAGTCCGTGGTTTAGCGTCCTGTTGTGGCGTTTCCTGTTCTTCTGGATCTGGCATATTAAAGGACTTAATATGCTGAAGGCTGCGTTTGTACTGGACACCTTGAGGCGATCGCAACACCACCTGGTCCCCATAACGAGATATCACCTGATATGGTTCCTTCTCATAGCAAGGTGACAGCTTATTTTCTTTCTTCTTCTCAAGCAGAACACTGTCTCCTTCTTTCACATTTCGATCTCTGGCATGGAACTTCTTGTCCACATAGTCCTTGTTAAACTGCTTTCTCTGATTGTCCCGATCACGAACGGCTTGGTCGCTCACTTCTAGCTCCTCCTCTTCAACGTTGACTAGCTCAGGCATTTTAGTTGTTAGCTTTCTCCTAAACAATAACTCGGCGGGACTCTTTCCTGTGGTTGAATGTGGCGTGGACCTGTACGCCAAAAGAAACCTGTTTAGTTCCTCTCTCCAATTCTGTCCTTCTGCATGGGCTGCTCTCATGGACTTAAGAAGCGACCTGTTTTGCCTCTCTACCTCGCCATTAGCTCTTGGCCATAGAGGTGTTGTGTAACGGTGTTCAATCCCCATTTCATTCAGGTAATCTTCTACTTCTTTGGATACAAGATTTGAGCCATTGTCGGTACGCAGACCTTTAGGCAACCCATGTCTTGCAAATTGGGCATCCAAGCAATGAATGATGGTTTTGCTGGAAGTTGTTCGGATAACATCAACTTCTATCCACCGGCTGTAATAATCAACGAGAACTAACAAGTGTTCTCCAGAAGGTAACGGACCCATTAGATCCACAGCTACTTCTTCCCATGGTTTGTTGGGTAACGGTGTTGACTTCAATGGTGGGGGTGGAACGTTCTTTGTAACCATCTGGCACCCGTAACACTCTGCACATCTTTTCTCGGCATCACGATCCATAGCAGGCCACCAGACTTTTGTTCTAAGTCTCTCCTTTGTCTTTGTGACTCCTTGGTGCCCCTCGTGTGCCAAACTAACGACTCTCTTGCGAAGTGCTTGGGGTATAACAATTCTTGTCCCCCGGAGAATTACATGGCCAATAAAAGTCAACTCATTGCGCACTGGCAAATACTGCTTTGGGGCATTGTCCCATTTCCCTTCGATGAGACAATTTCTGAGTGCTTGCAACTCAGAGTCTTGTGCTGAGACTTGTTCAATCTCTTTGATTCTCAATGCAGCGGGGACAGCATGTAGAGCTATCGCGCGTACATATCCATCATCTTCCGCGGAATTGTCTGACGCCGGTATCTTCGTCAGTCGGGTAAGGGCATCTGCGATGTTTTTTCTTGAAGGCACATAGCAAACTTGATAGTTGTACGGTTGTAAACGCAGAACCCAGCGCTCTATTCTGGCTGAAGGTTTAGACTTCCTGGAATAGATGACTTTAAGTGCTTCATGGTCTGTCACCAGATCAAACTGTGGAAGCCCGTACAAGTAGAGGTGGAAGCGTTCACAAGCCCAGACTAAGGCTAGTGCTTCCTTTTCTGTCTGACTATAACGACGCTCCACTTGACTCAAACTACGACTAGCATAACAGATGGCACGGCTTTCCCCATTCTTTTCTTGCACCAGCACGGCGCCAAGTCCAACAGGACTTGCATCAGCAATAACACGGGTGGGTGTGTCCTTATCGAAGTAAGCTAGGACTGGTGCACTTGCAACTTGACTCTTCAATCTCTGAAACGACTGCTCCTGCTCCTTGCCCCAAACGAACGGTTCCCCTTTTCTTGCAAGTTTTCTGAGGGGATCAGCAGTGGTAGCAAAATCGGGTATAAACCTGGCACTGAATCCAACGAGCCCCAAGAAGCTACGGACTTCTGAGGGTGTCTGAGGCTGACTTGCCTCTGCAACTGCTCTGACTTTTTCCTCCGTTGGGCCGATGCCATGCTTACTCAGCAAAAGACCCATGAATACCACTTTAGTCATTCGGAGAGTGCATTTTTCAGCATTCAAAGTCAGCTGCTTCTCACTAAGACGTTGCAACACACTGTGTAAGTTCTTATCATGTTCTTCAGTGTCTCGACCATGAACGATAAGATCATCTGCTATGTTTGACACCCCTTGTAGACCTGCCATTGACTGGGTGATGATATGCTGGTACTTCTCTGGTGCGGCATTTACACCGAAACTCAAACGTTTGTAGCGGAATATACCATCATGGGTGGCAAAAGCAGTGATATCCCTTGAATCAGGATCCAGCTCAATTTGGTGAAAACCCCACCTTAAATCTAACTTCGAGAAAACACCACTCCCATTAAGACTTTCAAGGACTTCATCTATGGTTGGTATGGGCAATCTTTCCCGAATAATGGCCTCGTTGGCTCTTCGCATGTCGACACACAACCTTATGTCCCCGGACGGTTTAGGAGCAACAACGACTGGGCTTACCCACACCGTAGGCCCCTCGACTTTCTCAATTATGTCCTTTTCAAGGAGTTCGTTAACCTTGGCAGTTACTTTGTCCTTTACAGAAAAAGGTACTCGTCGCATTTTTTGAACGACTGGAGTTACACTGGGGTCAATGTGTAGCTTCAACTGATAATCTTTAAGCTTTCCAATTCCCTGGAATACACTGGGGTATTTTGCTTTGAGTCCTCCCACGAAGGTACCATCAACAGTGTTACAGTCTCCTGTCCCAAGAGTTCCCGAGAGATCCACACGAAGGATTCCAAGATCTGTGGCGGACGAATATCCCAGCAAACAACGCCCGGATTCAACAACAATGAAATCTGCCACAACCTTTGCTTTGGGTACGGAAACTTCTGTCTGAAACTGGCCCTCAATTTTAAGCTCTCGACCCCCATAAGCATACAATCTCTTCAGACAAGGTTTTAATTCAATCTTGAGCCCCTGATACTTAAGTTCCTGCAGTGTATCTTTACTAATGAGGTTACTTGCAGAACCTGAATCAATCAACACATCTCTGCTGATTCCACCAATCTTCACTGAGATAACGGGTTCAGAGGAATTTGACATAGCACATGTCTGTTCTTCTATAGTAAAAGCAAAACTGTCATCCTCACCTGACTCGTTACAATGACCCTCAACATGATTTGCCTGTCTCCCCTTACCATGACGCTGCTGTCTGCCTCCCCGTTGTTGGTTGTTACCTTGTTTTCCAGGCTTCGAGTTCCTTCCCCCTTTGCAACAGCTGGCATAATGACCATATTTACCACACTTGCTGCACTTGCGACCTCGGGCGGGACAATTTGTACTTTGGGCAAAATGACCTTCTTTACCACAGTTGAAACAAACGCTTTTCCCTTTGTCTCCACGCCCAGGACGTTCTTCAACTGCATGAGTACCTGCTCCAGGTTCTTGGCTTGGCATGACCATTTGACCTGCCTGCTCGTGTGAGGCTTCCCACTTTCGAACTTTATCCATTGCTGCTTGCAGAGTAATATTAACGACTTCCAATAGCTTCTTCTTTAGCTCAACATTAGGCAACTTTTCAATCAATTGATCCCGTAAATTTTCTTCCAAAGTTGGACCAAAATTACAATGACGAGCTTGTTTACGTAAACGAACCATGAACTTATCGGCGGTCTCTCCCTTTGTCGGCGTAAGTTGACGAAAGACATGACGCTCGTACGGTACATTGTCCTCGGCTCGGAAATGAGCATCCAACTTTCGCAGACACACCACATACTCATTATCCTCGTTAGCATTCAGTGGTCCAGGATCTGGAATATCTTCGTAAATATCTTGTACTTCCATACCTGCTAAATGAAGTAACTGAGCTGTTTTCCGAGAAGGATTCGTAATTCCCTTGCCATCGATGTAATACTGATACGATCGTTTCCACTGTCGCCATCGTTCCGCGACCTGAGAGGAAGACCCTGTTAAATCTAGAGGTGGAAGCGCCCTTTCTACTGAATTCGCCATCCTCGTCGCCAATTTGTAGTGTCTAAAAATGAAGAAGTATGCCACAAAAGGCAGCCACGAAGGCGAACAGCAACAGTACACACAGTACACGTTTCTTTAATAATCTTCCCGCGCTCACACTTTCCCGGATGTATATTTTTACATAAACAACCGCTGTCCTAGTATACTACAGCCAGTCACCATACGCCATTTTGAATTGTTATGCGGATTACCGCCATACTTCTCGGTCCCAGACTCCCTTTTCCCATTCCTGATTTTATCAACATCCACCATCCCGTTTTCTCGTTTCGACTCGGTCCAGCCGAACCACTTAGGTATTTGGGTATTCAGAGTGCTGTTATATTCAGATTTATGGTATTTCGTCACAATACGCGTCTAAATTATCTCGTCTTCAAGAACTTTTGGCATTCGGTTTAAAAATACATACAGTGTATCGGGTCCCTTCTTTGAGGGAAACACTGAGTGCATTAGACTCTTCATATCACTCTCTTCCTTGCCTGATTAGACTTGTTCAACGTGCGTTCATTTTTTTGGAGCGTTTTCACTGAATTGAAATTGGAATTATTTGAGCCATCAAAGAGGAATTTTTTCTTGTTTACATGGCCTCATCTAACATTTTTAAAAATTTCACGACATACGCCCTCCTGTCTCGAATTCCCAGTTTGAAGAGGAGGAATCACATAGATACAGATGGAAAAATGACACTGTTTTATATATTATATATTCCCTAAACGTTTTGAATGAAATGATTTCCAATCAAATGACACGACGAAATGATCAAAAGAAAACATTATAAAAAAAATATTTGAAGTGTAAAATTGCTAAAGGTGACCATTAAGGTTTTTGCCATGCAATAAAGACAATATACCAAAATATCACTAAAGAACCGTGGGATTTTTAGTGCTGTGAGTTATTCACATCCACATGTCGATACCATTTTCCTTTTGCCTATGTTTTCCTTGATTTCGAGGCCTCATCTAAACACTCATGACTTTCAAACAGTTCTCGAAAAATTGAAAATTATTCACGATTAAAAACCTAACCTTCTCGAATTCCTAGCATCAAAGCAAAAAATGCAATATTGTTGAAAAATCAAAATTCTTTTTCGTAAAACTCTTTGTTAAAATGGCTTCTGTTAATTTATTTATTGACTGGCGACTTCCAAAAACAGGAAAAGTTTCAGAAATCTTGAGAGAGCGTGAGTTCACTGCAGAATCAGAAAAATTCAGCTTATTATTTTATTTCTATGTTACAAATGTTGTCAAATTTAAAAGAAGAATCACGATTGTTTACTACTCGCTTGTGTTGACATCGTTCCTCGTACGTCTCGTCACATCAACCTTTACCTTGGAGCAGCGGAGAATTGCTTTCACTTTCTCTCTGAAATTGTGGTTGAGTAAGGCATATACGAAAGGGTTGACTGCAGAATTGAACAATATCATCAGGTTGGAAAAAGCATACACTGCGTAACTCATCTGATAAGAAGTGAATAAGTGCAAGGTGTAAAAGAACTGGATGGAGCCATGACAAATTCCAAAAATGATGCTGACAACCACAGCCATTATGGTCACTCGCTTGCGAACCCCCATTATACCCTGGAGTTTGAATATGAGATGAGAGAGATAAAAACACATGGTTCAGTTATGGGCAGTCATTGCTTCTAAAGCCGGGAAAGGCTTTAACAATGCGCGTTCATTGATTATTGATGATAAACCCTTGTTCTGAAAGTGCCAAAGTTTTCGAATTAAGCTTATGATGTGCTTTGGATCAGTTGCATTCGTTAATTCAGTCACCTTTACACCCCATTTATTATATCCGTCTAAAGTCACTGGTAATCTTTGCAAACTGATTGGCTCTCGGCATTCTGATTTATTCACGAATAGCACCACTTTCTGCCCTAAATGGTGACATGTTTTGGGGGTTCTCTTGACGTTATTTGGTAAAATGACCTAGAAGTGAAATGCTTTTCGGCAAGCCTGTGTAGAATAATTGGCTCCGAAGAGCCAATCAGAAACCTAGAAATCAATAACCGTGCTTCAGTTTTTGCTCATACAAGATAACACGTCAGAGCAAATGACGAAGCGGCCAACGCTCGAAAATCACTTAAACAATCTCTCTACGGTGGCAAATTCACAATACAAGATCCATTATTCCATATAGCATCTATTCATATTCTGTGAGTGATGCCTGTGAGTTTTCTACGTGATTTCTTTTTTTTTTTTTTTCTATTTTTTTTTTCTTCTTAGCTTGTCAAATGAGCGTTTTCTTTCTCTTATATGTTTTTGTTTATAGCTAAAAAACATATGCTTGTGATGTTAAAATATTCTTATCGATGGTGAATTCTACGTTTCCATTTTTAATGTATTACGAGCAACATATAACCAGAATATACCAAATAGCCTGTACGAAAGGTGAAAATGCGAATATGTGAACATAAAATTGGCAATGTAAAAACCCGTATCACTTTTTTTACAAACTAATTTGTCAGCACTTACTTTTTGCTGAGGTGTCACCGCATTAGTACCATTTCGTTTAAACCACAGGGCAAAAACGACCCTCGAGTACAGCGTGACCATCACTGACAAGGCAACACATACTTGTGTTGTAAGGAATATATTATAAGTCCTGATCTTCCAATCGTCGGGCCACGTTTCATAGCATAAGCCGTTGGTGACCTTCAGGTGAATGAAAGTTGGAATGTTGCTTGTCACCCCAATAAGCCAGGCGATGGTTATTATAACCTGGAAAGGAGAAGTTAACTTAAGGAGTCTACACATTGATTGGTTTATTACTATCGTCATCGTCATCGCCATCGCTATCGCTATCGCTATCGCCATCACCATCGCCATCACCATCGCCATCGTCATTGTCATCGTCGTCGTTACCTACATTGTCCTCGTCTACATCCTTCTTATCGTCATGGTTATTGCCATTTTCATCGTTATAGTTATCGTTGTTGTTGTCATCGTTATTGCTGACCTTTTCGCTTACGCTATCACTTTATATTATCGTTATCATGATTTTTCTAGTAGAAACTTTGCTAGGGAGACAAACCTTCAGTTTACGATTGGTGAGTTTCCATCTTTTTCCACGCGGATCAAATACTGCATAATATCTTTCCACAGCGATTGCAACCAGAGTATAAATGGAACAGGCTGCTGCAACCCATCCAAAGCCTCCACCAGTTATGAATGTGCACAAAATCGAACTAATCCAACCCTCTGGGTGCCTTAAATTGGCACCTACAATAAGTTTGGGTGAAATAAACGCCGCGAAGAGGGCATCTGCCACAGCAAGATTGAAAATCAGGACATTTATGGGTGTCCTGCGGTATAAGCAAATATGCACTAAAATAAGTATTATTAATAATTCTTTTATCCCCGAGAGGAGTGTGGGAGTAGAGTGGTGACAAAAACCATGCGGTTTTAATTTGGCTTCATAACGATCGATTAGTGTGGCTTATCTGTTTTTAAATCCATTGCTTAAAGAAGAGTTTTAGTTTTGTTCATTGATACCTTTTATCTGTTGAGTGATTACGATGATTTCACGAGAGAAAGAGAAGATCAGCGGAGATCAAGAACAAAACTTTCAGCAAGGCAGTTTTGGACATCAACTTTTTACCAATTCCGTAAGTTGGTGAAGGCTACTAAGCTAATTCTGGAGAGCATAAGTATTGATTTAGAACGAGTTCTACATGTAATTACATGGCGAAATACACTAAATGGGAAGAAAAGGGCTTGTAAACATCTATTTTTTGACGAAATATTTCAGCTGATTGACAAAATACCTTTTTACTCCATATAAAGAGTCAATTTCCGAGAGACTTTTTCATAAAGAAACTTTTTTAGGTTTGTAGGCAAGTGATTCCAGATAGGTAGCCATGCGGCGGCGACGTTTAGGCGAACTGATAATATGTAATGTTTCGTAATTTAGCTACTAAAACCAGTCCAAAATACAAGGGTGTCGAGAAGGAATTCAGTTCTGTCCTGCTACCTCCAATGAGAATAAAAGGAACTGTCCACGAATGTATTTTGTTAATGCTTTTAAAAAAACCGATTGATCTCAGACCTTTTCACCCTTGCAGTAATTTCCTGAAGTGCACTTTTACTCTTACTGAGTGGCCTTAAAACACCACCAAACGATCCTTTAAAAAACCCGGCTTCCTATGAGTCGAGTTTAGAATTAGCTGTTCATTTTAATGCAATTGTTATACCCAATTTCCTACTATCGCTTGATATTGATTTACTGTAAGAAGTAGCGCAAGAAAGCCACACCTTTACGCAATGCAGGCCAATATTTTGGCTAATTACTAGAAATTTACCTTAACATGTAGCTACGTTTTTAGCCCATGGCGCTTACATTTGCACGTTACTAGTTAAATTAACAACAATCTGCGCGACTGTGATACACAAATGAATAACTTTCTGGATTCAGTCCTCAGTTTTTCTCAGCGGACCATTTTAAAGAGGCACCCAAAAGGAGAAGTTCGACTGCGTGAAGATTTTAGACATACCTGAGATTTCTATTTTTCCATATTATGACACAAACGAGAGAATTTCCCACGATATCCACTAAGACAAGTATGAAGAGGGTCGTTGTTATGGCAAAAGCAACAGACATCTGGAAATGCGTTCCAAACTAGTAATGATGTAACCTAAATGAGAACAAATCATTGCAGAAAGTTAATTCATCTTTCGTAGTTGAGGTGTTATTTCGCCTTTAACCGAGAAAAGCAACAGTAAGGTCTAACAATAGGTTTCATTTGTAAAAAAACTCGTTATAAACTTCCATCTTTATGTACGGCATTCTTACTGGATTGGAATTATTTGCCAAAACGTTTCGAGTAAATTGATTTCTAATAAAATGACACGACGAAATGTTCGAAAGAAAATAATAATATGAAAAACAATTTAACGTGTCAATTGCCAAAAAGTGTCCATTGAATAAAAACGTCATACCACAATATCACTAAAGAACCGTGGGATTTTTAGTGCTGTGACTTATTCACATCCACATGTCGATACCATTTTCTCTTTGTTTATGTTTTTTTTAGATTTCTAGGTCTCATCTGAGCACTCATGACTTCAAACAGTTCACGAAAAATTGAAAATTATGCACGATTATAAACCATATCTTCTCAAATTCTTAGTTTTAAAGCAAACATTGCAATGTTGTTAAAAAAGCAAACAAAATGGCTCAGTTTTATTTGACTAAACCTTGGACTTTATTGATTTAAATGAGATAGATAAACGAAGAAATTCAAAGGAAAAATGATTTAAAAAAATTAAAATGTCAATAGCCAAAGAGTAATCGTTCAAATCTTCGCCATAGAATAATTGATTATATTTTATGCCTGAAAAAACCGCGGGATTTCTTGTGCTGCGACTCATTCAAATACAGATTTCGTTGTTTTCTTTATCGTTAAACACTCTCATCTTTAAAATATCATTTTTGCTCACCTCTCGACAACATTACTTACATTTATTATTTTTTTTGGAATTAAACACAAACACGAAACTACAACAGAGTTAGATTAAACTTTCTTGTGGGTCTACGGTCTCTCAGCTGTAGAATTAGATGGACTCTTTTCAAGGTGATTATTTTTTCACCTCGCGGCATATATCTTGGTTCATATGCCTGTTATTCAAGGTTCATGTAAGTATCTAAGTGTAGTAAGCCGACGCTTTCAACCCGAAAGTTATTGCTGTGAAATTAGAGCAACCATAGAATTGTCCAAATTTTGAAGTCAGTTGTTTTCAATTTGCTCCGCTCGATCCAAAAGGTTTATTCCAGATTTTCGGTATGGAAACTGAAAAAAAACTACCTCGCGCTTTTAGAAAGGAGGCCGTGCGTGGGGACGACTTATATCTATATCCCTACATCCGCCTTTAGGTGAACCACGACTTTATTTAGCTTATTCTCTTTTATTTGTAAATAAGTCACTCGTTCGGCGTTTTATCTTTTCCATTTTCCAAGTTCAAAAACTACAACAAACATGATCATGTTTATGTTTGAAATATATGTTATGTCAAGAAGACTTTTTTTAGCCATCAACAAGAACGTTTATGCTAGATTTGGATTTTGATAAACTATTGTTATCTTTATATTCTTTAGCTACGTTAATTAATTTTGGTTTCTCCACGTTGCTCGCCAAAAAAGGAGCTATTTCTTTTAACTCCCTTCCCCCCGAATGTTTTTAGGGGTGGAAAAAAAAAACTAACGAACACAAGATCTTAAAAGATTGCAAAAAGGTAAATGTAACGAGCTCAAAAGGTACTTGAAAGTATTACTAAGAAAAAGTTTTGTCGATGTAGTGATTTTAGGTTAGATTGAACTTAGATTTAGTCGAAGAATTAAAAATTTTAATGCCAAAACACCTCTATAATTATCATGCCGGAAAAGAAACATTCTTATTTTTTTAAGTAGCCCCTAATTGAGGAAAAAATAAATAATTTTGGACAGATGCCATTTTTAATCTCCCAGTTCGGCTGTCTAAAAACTTAAAATCATCGTCTTCAAAATGTTCAGAACATGCTTTGGTACTAAATGTTATTGATTATTATTTCTTTGGATCGCTTTTAATCCTGAAAGTCCATATCAGTTTTCAAAAAGAATTTTAAGTGATAGTTGCTTTAGAAAACAACTATCATAGTTTAAAACCGAGTCAAGACAAATTACTTTTCTGACCATTTGTTCATGCAGATTTGAAACACAGATTTGTGCAAACAGTGTTTAATGGAAGAATGCATCGATACTTAACTTTTAAAGCATGGGATAATATAAGGAATTTGGGAAAAGGCAAATCCAAATTTTTATCTTAGTAGTGAAAAACGCAACAATAGTCAGTGGAGCATTATTCACGCTTCGCCGTAAATCTATTATGACTGTTTTTTACCCATGTAGGACCAAGTTAGCAATCTATAACGAATGACGTTGAAGGGGAAAATTTTTGGATCTTTGATTTCTGTGCAAACGAGAAAATCGTCAGACACCAGACATGAGAGCGCCCCTCTAAAATGGTGAAATAATTTTTTTTTCGTCATTGACATTATTTTTTATCTTTGGAAAGATTTTAAATAATTGTTCAGGAATATTATTGCACTTTACCATCAAAGGTCGTTTGAAGAAGCAATTTTCCAAAATTTACAACAAGTCGTGATTTCTTGTGCTGTCACTTATTCAAGCTTAACATTTTCACTTAATTGATTTCAAATGGAAGGACAAAACAAAAAACTTCGTAAGCAAAATGATTGACTAAAAAACGCATTATAGTAGTCATAGAATGAATACAGTGTGATAACATCTTAGGACTAAAGAACCACGGGATTTCTTCTGTTGTAGCTCATTCAAATCCAGATGTCGATGCTACCTTTTTAATTCCACATCCAATGTGTTTTATTTCATTATTTTTCTAATTTCTTTTTCGTATTGCGTACATCTATTAGTTATATAATTAAACATGAGTCTTTTCAACACGATTTCTTTTTCTTTTCCTTTTCCTTTTTTTTTTTTTTTTTTTTTTTTTTTTCTCACAGCAGATTGAAACAACATGACGGTTCATTCTGCTATCCAAGAACAACTCGACACTAATAACTGACCATTGTGACAACTCGTGGGCAATTTGCTGTAAAAGGACATCAACTACAGAGCAGGGTCAATTTCTTCGCTTTTTTCTCGACAAAAAAAGGATCAATGCACCTCACTCAACTTCTGCATGAAATTTCCATTGTTTAGCCAAATGTTTACTCGATTTCATGAACGGAAAATTTTGCTGCTTAGCGTCAGAAATTCTAACAGTTATTGAATTCAGATCAAAATAATTTTTTAATTATACCCATTGAAAATGCTATTATCCAGGCCACATAATTATCCCAATCCCGCAGAACATATTTTGAGGTCAGTAGTTTCTAAATTAGTTTCGCTTTTGCGAATGGATGAATCTTGAACTCGAAAGTTTATTTCGTCGCTAGTTTTGAGCACATTTTCTTTCATTTGAAGAACCAAAAGGTTTGTTCAAGTTTGTGAGGGAACCGAAAATATTGTCTTCAATCTTGATTTCGTAAGCCACGGGCGGGGACGACTTCTTGTCTGTTTTCCTAGAACCGCCATTCCATATAGCTGTCTACGCAGCCTTTCCATAAACTGGTGATTGGTTCGTTCTGATCATGCGCAAGCTGGTAGGAGTGTTCAAACTCCTTTACGTCACTGGAGGTGGAATATATAGACAAAACCAACAACTGCACTATACTATTTTTTTATCCAACGGCACAAAGTAGAGTACAAATAATGCGCGAATGGAATACAAATATCCTGCGATATTCTACGGTTATTTGGACAGTTGGATGACTTTTCAGACGTTTTAGTGTGTAGTATCGTCGAATTAGTTTTACTCGTTGTTTGAATTTTTACTCGCCCTATCAGCTCGTCAAAATTCGGCACAACTTATAAAAATACTCAGCGATAGTACACACCATAACGTCTAATAAGATACGTTTCAGAATTCTAGAGAAGGTGTAAGTTGACTGTAAAGTCAGAAAAAAGTACAATTTATCATTTCGATCCTAAGTTTCAGACGCCCTAAAATTGTTTGAAGAATCACGAATATTTGAAGGCTTTTTTGTGTTGACAACATGGTAGGTTTGTATCTGACTCGTCACGTCAACTTTTGCTTTGGGGTATCGGAGAATTGCCTTCACTTTCCGTCTGAAGTTGTGGTTGAGCAGGGCATATACGAAAGGGTTGATAGCAGAGTTGAATAATACCATCAAGTTGGAAACTGCATACATAATATGATTCATCTGATAAGAAGAGAATAAATGCAAAGTATAAAGGAACTGGATTGTGCCCCAGCTTATTCCGAAAATGATGCTGACGACTACAGCCATTAAAGTGACCCGCTTCCGGACTCTCATCATACCCTGAGGTTTAAATATGAGAAATATATGGTTTAGTGACTGACACCTCTTGCCTCTAAAGTCGGGCCAAGGTGCATTCATATTTTAAGTGTTTAACATGTGTAATGATATCGAACCGTAGTACTAAAAAAGTACCAAAGTTTTAGAATTTAATAGCTCTTGATATATTTGAGATCTATTGCATTCTTTTAATCATGTTTATGAAACGTCTGACATCCGCTTAAAATCTCTTTTGATCCCTACGATCTGATTGGCTCTTAGAAGTGCGATTCATTTACTAATCGCACCATTTTCTGTAGTAAATACCATCTTTTTCCCAGCCAAAAAGAAACTAAACTAAGCAAGACTAGAACAGAACAGCCAATTTCATGAGGATTTCAAGTCCTGTTCAAAGTAAACCGTCAAACTACAGGAAAATCAAATACAGAGGCCATTATGTTATGAATTTTGCAGCTTTTGTCCCCCCAAAATGGATGTAATTAAGTTGTAGTTGAACCACGTGTCGAGAAATTCTGGTTTAAGAACTTACCCATCATTGAAGTGACGCTTATGATTTAAGACAAACACAGAGAACACAGTTCAATTACCATTTGTTATCACAACGTCAGCACTTACTTTTTGCTGAGATGTCACCGCATCAGTACCATTTCGTTTAAACCACAAGGCAAAAATAACTCTGGAGTACAGCGAAACCATCAAAACTAAGGCAATAATTACTTGCGTGGTGACAGACAAAGAGAAAGCCTTTATCTTCCAATCGTCGGGCCACATTTCATAGCATACGCCGTTGGCGACTCTCATGTAAGTGATATTGGGGATGTTGTACATCGCTGAAATAATCCAGGCGGCAGTTATCATAATCTGGAAAGGAGAGGTGAACATAGGATTTCTGATACTATCGTACTCGTTCTCGTCCTCGTCAGCGTCAGCGTGAACGCTGACACTGACGCCTGCGATGTAATTATTGTTATCGTTATCGATATTTCTAGGTTACTGGCTTATGAAGCATCACTGAAACAAACCTTCAGTTTACGATTGGTGAGTGTCCATCTTTTGCCACGCGGATCAATTACTGCATAATATCTTTCCACGGCGATTGCAACCAGAGTATAAGTGGAACAAAATGCGGCAATCCATGCAAAGCCTCCACCAGTAATGAACGTGCACAAAATCGAACCAATCCAACCTTCTGGGTGCCTTAAGTTGACACTCACAATCAGTTTTGGTGCAATCAATGCTGCGAAGAGGGCATCCCCCACAGCGAGGTTAAAAATTAGAACATTTATGGGCGTCCTGTAGTATTAGAAATATTATGTACTCAGTAGAGTAATTGTATCCTAAATCATAACCCTTTATCAACTGGCTAGAGTCTAGCGGGAAGATAAGGATAACATACAGCGTGCGGCTTGAGATCGGGGTTGTTTGGTCATGTTATTTGGATTCCAACTCCATTCTTTTCAGGAGAGTTTCATCCACTGGTAGTTTTTACCGAGAAGGTGGAACATTTTTCTTGGAAAACATTTCTGGGGCTGCGCGCACAACGAGATGGGATATAATTTCATTGAGGAAAAAAAGACCTGCAAAGATAAAAAAAAAAAAATGAACGAAGAGTTGCCGTTTTCAACTTTTATCACGGAATTTGTTTGTTTTGATAAGCAAATATAGGCAGCTGAATGCGTTCCAAGGTCAAAAATTAACCATTTTGAAAATAGATAGTCATCGAGGATTCATTTTTTCGCAATGACAGATTTTCAGGCGAAAATTGATTCAGGAAATTTAGGTCTTACATATTTGATAAAATACAAATAATACTAAAGCGAGAACTCTCGTTCCAAAGCCTACACACCTTGCACAAATAAGCAGATTGCCTATAGGACATGATTGACATATTCATTTGGTTTCCTCGTGAACTAAACAAATAAATTTTGGCTTCAGGATGAAGTATTTACTTAGTTGGGTCGAAATTGAGGATGCGAATGAGAACGCAATTAACACGAGCTGGAAATACAAACTTGTGAACACACGATCGATCTCAGTAAAAGATCGCAACAAAATATATAGTCGAAACGAACACAAAATGGAATCACAAGGTTTCTCACAAATGGAAAGTTTTGGCGAATTCGTGAAAATGAGTTCAGATTGGTGATATAATTGGTCGGAAAAAAAAAGTTCGATTGATGAGCTTCGACTTATACCTTAATATATCTTAATATACCTTAAATTTCTATTTTTCCATATTATCGCACAAACAAGCGAATTGCCCATGATATCTACCAATACAAGTAGCAGCAGTACTGTTGTTACGGCGAAAGCATTTGACATCTTGAAACACGTTCTCTCAGTAGTGTTATCATGGAACCTAAATGGGGACAAAACAAAAGCAGATAAGCCTATCTCACTGAGAGAAGGTATTATTTTGCTAACATCTAAGAGCGCAACGGTAATGAGTTATTCTCCTGAAAATCTTGTAACAAGTTTCATTCTTAAAATAGTCATGAGACTTAACTTTCGCGTTTCTGCCGGAATGGTAATGATTTGAGCAATTATAGAGGACTTTTTCCTTGATTATCAGCCTAATCTGAACATTCGGGACCTTAAAAATAATCTCGGAAATTTGCAAATTATTCAATATGAGCTTCAGCGTGTCGAATTCCCATTTTGAAAGTGCGTAATCAGTTTGTCACAAAAAAAGATAATGGCTCAGTTTCATGTTGACTAAACCTTGTGACGAAATTGATTTCAAATCGATTGTGATAAAACAAAAGAAATCGAAGACAATAAGATTAAAAACAACGAATCAAAATATCAACGGCTTGAGAGCAAAAAGTTTAAAATCTTCGCCATAGCAATATCCCCTTAAGCCTGAAAATAACGCAAGGTTTCTCGTGCTTTAAAATATTCAAATCCAGATGTTGGTGTTTACTTTTTTAATTTGAAATTCTCTCCTGTCTTTTTTATTTTTTTGATCACTTCTTGTTGGTATTTCGAATATCTATTTGCTATATAATTAAATATGAACATGAAACTGGCTTCAAAGTCACTTTCTTGTGCTCAAAGACCTCTACAGAATTGAAGGGACTCTTTTCAACATGACATGCTTCTTAAGGCAGACTGATTATCCATGAAGGTATCTGCTATTATCTAAGTAATAAACTGACGATGACAACTGAAAATCTTGGCAAATTGAAAGCTACTTGTTTTAAAATGACATTAACTAAATGCAATAATGTTTGGCTTTTTGTTTCGGTGCATAGTGCTGTTCAAATCTTGTCTATCGGCATCAAAAAAAATGGAAAGCGTGAAGCAGCTTATGCTCTCTTATCAGCGTAAAGAAACTTAAGTTCCTTTTCGCTGCCCCTTTGGGAGCTGTCTAACCTGGTACTTTCAAAGGGTTAATTCTGATGGCTGATACGTCTTTAAAGATAGAATCGTCTAACTTACCGTTAAGATATTCGCATAGCGGTATATTGCTAAGGGTTCCGTCTCAATAACTCGAGTGCTTTGAACAGA